GTCTTTCTGGCTGCCAGTCTCCCCACCTGTTGGGGAGGGGTGGGCAGACATCAGGAGCAGCAGCTCCAGTGAGAGGCTGGCCCGGGCCCCGCAGGACTCCGCCCTGGTACCTCATGGCCGGCCTGCGGCCCCCGGACCTGTCCACCTCTGCCTCGTGTCTGCTCCCCAGTCTCCAGCCGCCTTCTCGTAGCTGAGGCCCCCTGGCCCCAGGCCCCCCGGCTCATGTCCTTTTCTAGAGGCCTCTTCCCACCAGGCCTCTGTCCACGCTTCTGCGCCGGACTCTGCAGCCTGCCCTGGGCCAGCCCTGGGCTCTGCCACATTGCCAGGCCCACCGCATGCGGGACTGGTGGGGCCGTGCGGGGGGCACAGGCGTGGGCACAGCGAGCCAGAGCGGATGCTGGCGAACGCATTTCCTTTCTGACTTTCCTGCTGTTTCCACCCCCACCTCTGTCCTCTGCTGGCCACCCGGTCCCCGCAGCCTGCCCCAGCCCTGTCACGAGAGGCATCCTCCCTCCTCATGGTGCCTCTCCTCGGCCCCCAGGTGCTGCAGGGGCCCCTGGACATGGACACCGTCCGGCGCGAGCTGCCCCATGAGCTGGACCAGGTGCACCTGGAGGTGTTGGAGCTGCGAAAGCAGGTGGCTGAGCTTGAGAAGCACCTCGCGTCTGCCGGGAAGGAAGGTGGGGCCCCTCCGAGCCAGCAGCAGCCGTGGGCGCCGGACGCCGTGGCCTTCGGGAGAGAGGTGGGTGTGGGTGCCCTGTGCCCGCCATCGATCTGTCTAGCTGCTGGCCGTCCTGGGTCTTGCTGCGGAGGGTGCCCTATAGGTGCTGGCCCCTGGCCGGTCGCCAGAGCTCTGGCCCCTGTGGGCCGTCCCCATGGCCCCCTCGTCCTTCCTTGGCGGCTGCCCCCTGGGTGGACACAGTGCTGGGGGAGCCCCATTCTCGGGCCTCCAGTCTTTGTAGCTGCTCCACTGAGAGGTCGTGCATGGGATACCCGTGAGGAGGACTGTCCTCTGTCCCCTAGGCAGGCGTCCTGACTGCTCGCCAAGAGGCTGCGAATTTCTGAAACTAAGGCCAAGTCGGGGTTTCCCCTCAGGAGGAGCTTGTGTCTCCGTGCGCCTCCCGGTGTCAGGAGCTGCCTGCCGCCTGTGACAATGGGGCCACCCATGCGGGTGCCATGGGGCCCTTGTCCTGGAGCAGGCTAGGCCTTCGGCACCGGTCCTACCCTGCTCCGTGACCAGGTTCGAGCCAGGGGTCCAAGCTGAAGAGAGGGTACTGCACAGCACATTGTCCCCACAGGTGTGACAACCAGGCCGCCTTCTTTCTTAGCAAAGGCCGTGATGGAAATGTAGAAATGGCTTCCTTAACAGGGCGTTCTCTGATGTGGCTCCTGGACCTCGGCCAGTTGCCCGTGGTGACCCATGCTCACCCATGGTTAGCTGGGTGGACCTATGCAGACCCGTTACAAAGGGAAACCTAGCTTTCCAGGGACCAGCTCCCATCACCAACACTGGGACAGGTGGCCGTCATGCACTTCTGGCCTGGACACACCGAGGACAAAGCCTCACTCCTGACTACCCACAAGGAGACCTCAGACCCAAACTGAAGAACATGGTGAAGGCAGCAGGCCTGCACTGTCCCCAGTGTACCGGTTAGGGACCTACGGGGACCCTGGACCTGGAACAGGAGAAGCAAGCCATCATGGACGTTCCTGAGGCAGCGGGCACGGCCGCACGTGGGCAGTGCGTCAGGTCTAGTGTCAGGCCTGTGCCACCTTTCTGGTTTTGACGGCCAGTCGCTGTGAGCGCCTGTGATTTTAGGAAGAGCAAACAGAGCGCTGAGGCTGAGGACTACCGCATGGGGGGTGGGGGTCAGCAGATGGCAGCTGCCTCCCTGTCTACCAGGGAAGCGCGGGGAGCCCCTGACGCTGCCCTTTCAGGTTCTCTGTGAGGTCGAAGTCCTACCAGCGGCAGCCAGGCCGTGCCTCCCCAGCCCAGGGCGGCCCTCCATGTTCCCCAGTCTCCGTGCCCCAGCCTGGTGCAGAGGGGCGATGGCCGGCTGGCCAATGGAGTCCCCTGCTCCTGACGGCTGCTCCACCCAGCCCTGAGACCCGGACAGGTGCTGGCCCAAGAGCAGGGCAGGAGGGATGCGCCGGGCCGGCTGCGGGCAGTGCTCACCGTCCCCCCGCAGCGGGCTCTGCCGAGAGCTCGGGAACCTGTACGGGCCGAGCCCTCAGGCAGCCAGGGCAGCCGCGGTCCTGGTGTCCTGGCACTGCCCGTGCCCGTGGCCGGGGCTGCTGGGGCCCGGGGCTCCGCCCCCACCTCTCCACGGAGCCCGTCACTCACTACCCTTGGGGACAGGGACGTCACTGAGACGGCTCAGCAATCCAGCCTCTCCCTTCATTGCACAGTTTCTCTCCTGGCCAAGGTGCTGGGTCAGGGCCTGGACGGGTGAGGCCACCTGGGGTGGGCCCGGACACGCACAGCGGCTCAGAACGCGTCCCGGGTCACTGGGAGTGTCACGCGCTGTTGTTAGAGAGAAGAGTAAAGTAACCTCACCGGGCACCGAGCCCAGGTGGCGGGGTCCGTGGCTGCAGCCCCCACTGACTGCGTGCCACCACGGCGACGAGGACGTGGCCCATCTAAGGTCACAGCCCGGCCCGCGTCGACTCCTCGCTCGTGTGGGAGCGTCTTCTCGGGGGGTCCACTTTGAAGAGTGGATTCTTTCTGAAATCCGACTTTTCTGAGGTTTGCAGAGTCTGTGTTTAGGCCTGTTCCTTATTCACTCAGGACACGAGGGAGCCTAGCGCGTGTCTTGTAGAAGACCAGGGCTCGTGGAAGGCTGTTGGCCGAGCCCCCACCGGCCGTGTGCTGCCTTGGGACACCCCGGGGGGGGCTGCGACACTTTCACAATGGGATGAGTCGGCCCCTTGCGGGGAGGGAGTGGCACCCGCTGGTGACCAGTTCCACATCAGCTCCTCCAGGTCTGTCCCAGCCCCTCCGCAGGTCTGAGACCCCCCTCTGACCTGCGTCGCTGGGAGATGAGAGCAGGTGTGGGGGCCGCTCACCGGTGATCTGGGTGTGCGGGGTCCCCCCGCAGGCCCCCATCACACCACGCCAGCCTGTGGCATAGGCCAGAGGTGCCAGTGGCAATTGCCTGGCTCCCTGGCCACCTGAGGAAGTGGCCCTGCCAGCCCTGGAACAGCACACTGGAAAGGGGCCTGTTCCAGGCACTGGGAGCCAGTTCTGTGTGCCAGCAACCAGACAGGACACGCTGGCTTCTCACGGGGTTAGGAGCGGTCACGGCTGAGCAGGCCACCTGCTGCCCTCGGGGCCTTGGGCAGATCCGTGCCTGATGGGCCCTGCCCAGCACAGAGAAGCCCCATCTTTGTCTTCTCTCTGTGCTCCCCGGCTCACTGCAGACGCCTTGGGCATGACCTCGTGGCTTTTGGGAGCGGGTGGGTCCAGGCCAGGGCGTCAGGGCAGTGGTGGGGCCAGGACTGTGATGGGGCTGCTCAGACCCCCGTCAGGTCAGGACGCTGTGGACCTGGGGCGGCCTGTGCTGGCTGGGAAGGCGGAGGCCGGTGCAGAAAGCGCACATGTGGCGGAGCCAGGGGCAGGACGCTGCCAGGGGACAGGGAGAGGGGAGCGGGGCCAGGGACCAGGGAGAAGGGACAGGGTGCCGGCTGGAAGGAGGAGGGGAATGGGACCTGCCAGGCGGCGGCCAGGGCGCCACGTGGGGCTCTGATCATGAGCGCTCTCAGAGTCCTGGGGGCGTTGGAGGCTGAGCGCTGGAGCCTGCGGGTCCTCACTGTCCCTACTGGAAAGACACAGGCACAGGAGGGCCCCTGGAGAGGGGCTAGGGAGGCGGGGGAGCCGGCCTCGTTCGTCCCACGTGGGAAGGGCGTCCACAGGTGCATGCCGTGGCCTATCTCTGCCAGCGCACGTGGACACATGTCCCTTTGGCCTCTCATGTGGACCAGTCGGTGTCTGTCACCCAGGGAAACTGATTCTGGGCGGCTGGCGGGACAGCTTGGCCATCTCACCCTGACGCCCACTTACTCACTTCCCACCCGGAGGGCTTGTCTGACGGCCGACCATGTGCGCGTTTGGTTCCCAGGGCCCAGCGGACGGAGGAGCGGCGGGGACGGCGGGGACCAAGGGCCAGGAGGTACAGCGGCTTCAGAGGAGGCTAAAGGCGGCCGCCCGCAGCATCGTGCGCCTGCGCCTGGAGAAGGAGCAGCTGCAGGAGCTGGGGAACCGGCTCCGCGCGGAGCGGGGCCGCGCAGGTGAGCCGGCGCCCCAGCGTGCCCCAGGCCTGAGGAGGGGCCGGCGCAGGCGGGGCCAGACGCCCCCCGTGTGGATGCGGGGCCGGCTCGGGTTCAGGTTTGTTCGTGACCTGCGCGCTGGCAGCATTTGCGGGAAAACGAGCTAGCGACACCGTCCCCCGGCTCGGGCTGCGCCATCGCGCGTGAGGCAGCTGTGTCTCTACCACCACCAGGTCCGGCACTGCTTGCCAGGTGCCCAGGCCTCTGTCGCACAGGGTGCTGGTGCCCAGGAAAGGCAGTGACTCTTTACAAAAGATGCACACGCTTTACCTTTCCATGAATGTCGCTAGAGCCCCAGCGGCCAAAATGACATTCTGTCTCTTGGTGAAGCCCGACGGTGTCCCCCTTTTCTGAAGAGCTGAGGTACAAGTGGGGGTCCCATGCACGGCCATCAGGGTGGTGCAGTCAGGTTGTGTGAGGACACTCAGGGCAGCAGACCCACAGCCAGGGCCCAGGCTCGTGGGAAGGACTGTTGTCCGCCAAAGGGCACAGCAGTTTGTGGGGCATTCACGCTGGCCGGGTGGCATGCAGAGTATCCCAGAAGTGGAACCTAAGGAAATGGCCAAAGCAGCCAAGGAGCCACCAGCTGTCACTTGTTTGTGAGGAATCCACACGGTACGGACACTCGGGCTCGGGTGTGTCATCAGTGAAGAACCTGAGTGGACTTTGTGCCCCTACCCCCCGGGCCCTGAGCCCCTCTCTCTGGGGACGGGGACGTTTATTTCACGTTTTTGGGAGACAGGGTGGTCAGCGTGTCCTCTTTACACCGTTTCTTAGGTACCTTTCATTCTAAATGTGCAAAGGGGCATATTTTGGGGTGGCCTGCCCCGAGTCCCACCAGCCTCCTCTCAAACCCCCTGGAATTTTGCACAGTGGTTGCTGAGCAGGGCGATGGCTTCCTGATTTCACTGAATTAATCCAGTCTTGGAAGGAGGTCAGTTTTCAGGCTGCGTTTAAATCGGCGGAGGCAGGCTCCCGAGCCCGGCCTGCGGAGCAGCAGTGGGTGCTGGTAAGAGACGTTCTCCTGGGAATTAGAAAAACTGGTTTACTGTGGGGACAAATTACAAACCAGGTCCTGGGTTCTAAGGATGACCAGCTGAGAAGATCTTTAGATGTCAGGCTCAAATCACGTTTTGCAGTGTGATGTCTTTAGCGACGTCACCGGGTGCTCTGGCAAGCTTTCTGAGTGGCTCGTGTGGCCGCGGACGCGAGGGCTGTGAACACGCGCTGTCGGCGCCTCCACAGTCGATCCAAGCGGCTTCGGTTTGCGGGGCTTCAGGAAGAAGGTGAGCTTTAGCTCTCAGTGACTCTGGGTCGGAGGGTGGGAGAAGTTTGCAGGTTTGTGGCCAGAGGTTTGAGGAAACTAGGAGAACGCAGGGTCTAGTCCGGTTCACAGGGGCACAGTGAAGCCCTCAAAGGGACTCTGACGTTAGGTGTGTGTTATAATCTCTGCTGAAACAGCCTTTCTATAATTAATCAGCCCCATTTTTGCCAGAGATAATTATAGTGAAACTAATTCGTTCATAAAATAGGTCTAGTTTTATTAAATTCGGCCTCGTTATGTAAGCTCTTTCAAGTCTGCTTTGCTGGGACTTTCCGTGAGGACTCTCAGATTGAACCTTTAAAGGCCTCTCGAGGCCGGGAGCCCAGCCCAGGTCTTCCTGTCAGGTGTCGCCTGCAATACCTTTCAGTTTGGGAGAGTTTCTCCCTCCTCAAGGTCCCCAGAATGTCTTAGGATTCCTTTACTGATGTGGTAAAGCTTCTGGGAACCCTGCGAGCGAGACACCAGATTTCCCAGGGGCTCTATTGGCTCCATAAGGCCACCATAGTTCCTTAAAGCCTCCTGGTCACAGCTGAGTCCGTGCACGTTCTCAGATAGGACCGTCCAGTGACAGCCTTCAACGTGACCTGCAGCCAACTGAGTCCCTTTGCCAGAAACAGATGCTTATTGAACCCACGTAAAGGACAGTACGGGCACTGGTGAAGGTGTGCGCTCTGGGGGGTGTCTCCGTTCTGGAGGGGTCAGACGGCAGGGAGCTGAGCGCTTCCTCTCTGCTCACAGCGCCGTGCTTTACCAGTCGTTGGACGTTTCCCCTGGATCCGGAAAAATGAGACGCTTAGAAGAATCGGCAGTGTTTCAGACAAAAAAACTCGTAACAGTTATAGTCATCTTCGTTGGGCTCCTTAGCCCCACGCCTTAATTCTAGTTGACCTTGATCTTTTGTTAGCATTTGCACAGAGCGTGGGGTCTCAGGTCGAGTCCTGTAAATTCCCGCCCAGCTCAGTGGTGTGAGCCAGTCAGAAACCTGTGTTCAGACTGCTTCCCAGAGTCTCCTTGACGACGGCACATTTGCACAAGTGTCAGAGTAAAACAGGAACGGCAGTGACAAAGGACAGTTCATCGCAGTGCAGTCGACGAGGAAATTTGCCCGTTTTTGTAATTCCACATGTTAAGATCGTAACTGGAATTACGCCTGATAACATTATGCCAGAACATAATCAGATTTCCAGGAAGTTCACCTACTTTCTGGAATGCCTGTATCCCATCCAGACACAGAATAAAAAAAGGTTCAGTATTACTTCTTATTTGATAGTTCTTCCCATGTAATTAAAAAAGCCTAATTAAACATCTCCCATTTATGAGAGAGAAGTTTTGTTTGAGATGTTCCAGGGCCTTCCAGAAAATTTCTATTTAGTCAAAAGACTATTTAGAATATGATATCTAGGAAGTTTGTCAAAAATATCGAAAGGCTCCTAAAACACTTGGTCACATAGGATCCTGAGTCACTGTGAGATGACACCAAGTCACCCATTTAACCGTGGTGACAAGACTTTGCAGCCAACACAGGAAGTTAGGTGTGAGCAAAACCAACCAAAGACCGCACAAAGCACAGGAAGCGATTCTGGTGAAACGCAAAATCACGCTTTCCGGGTAGATTATCTGAAAGGTAAGGACACTTTCTCCTCTGCTGTCAAAAGCAGCCAGAAGCTCAGGACAACTGTCGTCCTAATAGAGAGAACTCAGTCCTTCTGTGCCGCTGTGCTGTGATATTAAAACTTGTTTTTAAGTAAATTCATTTCAGGCTTAGCTTGACCGTGCATGAGATTCCTTTCCAAAAGTTCCTTTTGCACAAACCTTCTACGACTTTCTTTTTTTAGATTCATACTTTGCCCTTTTCTCTGTCTCATAACCAGTTTTACTTTAGGACAAACTTGTTTTTCTTCAGATGCATTTTTATTCCTCATACCACCCCCATCTTTGAAACCAAACATTTTACTTTTCTTGCATATGGAGATGTTTCTCTTATTATTGCTAGTAGCTTTAATTACACGTATTATTGAGAATTCTTAAACCTTAACCTTAATTTCTAATGAAAACTAAGAAGTAGCAATTGTGACTGCCTTTACGTCGGCATGCTATATAGATCGACAGACTTACAGACACTCTATGATTTCTAGAAACGTGCTTTTCCATAAAAAAGTTTCTCAACATGTCATAAAACATGTTTACTCACAGATCCAAATATCTTTAGTTTCTCGGTAATAAGGAAACCGAAAGCAGACAAATCTATGTTCAGTAGTTAATATTTCGTTATTTTTTCTTATTTGGAAGTGATCTAGACATTTAATGAATTCTCAGTGTTTGAGTTAGTAAAACTCCCAGGATGTGTTACCAAAGAGACTTAGGAAACTAAGCAGACGTGTCATTAAACGATCCTTGCAAAAAAAACTCGGCAAAACTCTCATCTGATTTACATCTGTTCAATTCATTTGTTTTTCATAAGCACACTGAGATCGCTCGCGAAAGCGCTGTGAGGCGGTAGATGGCAGCCATCGTCACCCAGCTGTTTCTCCTGCGGGCTGAGTGACAGTCATAACCGTGAACCTGCTGGGTTCGTAAGCCAGGCTGAACGGAGGAGGCTCGGCCGCATGGCATCTAATTCTGGCACCCGAAGACACGCCTGTTTTAATTAAACCGACAAACTTAGACAGGCCTGGATTTACCAAAGCTTATTTTATATCGTGTAATTTGGGGGAAAAGTCCACTTAGGTTAATTTCTATATTTTTTGAGAATTTTTTACATAAGCCTGTTGAAGCCACTTAAGTAGAGGTCTTTTCAGACAACTTTAGCAGTGCCATCCGGGGACAGAAAAACACCCCACATCCATGACATGGGACACACAGGGACCAGAATGACGGAGGTCCCGTAGCCTTCACTTTTAGAACCCTTAGGCACAAGGTGGGAGGTGTGTATAGGACTCACCAGTTCCTAGGAGGACAGAGGCTTTTCTCTTCTATGGCAGTTGGAATCAGTCAAGTTCAACCTGCCTAGATGGCCAAAGCTCTGTTTTTACTAATATTTATAAGTAAGATTTTTGAGATTTCCCATTTGCCCAATTTCCGAATATCTCCCCCACCCCCCACCCTTTGTTTCCCCTTTAAGGAGAAACCTATCAGACAGGACTTTGAACTGTTTTCCAGAGTTGCAGGTCTGGTTTTGTAAAGATTTACAAGACAAAGACAGGTGTTCTCAGTTCCTCTTAGAGCTGGATTTTAGCCTGCTTCAGTGGCTGATCCACTGAACACTTGGTCTGTACATCCAGTGCCGTCCTGGCACTCCGCGTGCCCACGGCCGCCTGTCCGACGGGTCCCCAGGCCTTCGGACACCCCGCTCCCGGTCACTGGAGCAGGGTGTCCCCGGGGGTGTCGGCCATCCGATAACCACAGCCCAGTCACCAGCCAAACAAGGCCTCTCGGAGTGGGGCTGTGACTGGCCCTTAAGCTTCCCAGTGTTGTGGCGCGATCAATTCTAAGACCCAGGGAGCCAGTTGAGGTGAATTATGAGCCTTTATTAGCCCGCCGGCGACTGACTCTCTACTATGCAAGGTTCGATGAGGTCAGCCCCGAGCTCCCAAGAGGCAGTTTATAAAGCCTAGAACCATACCCTGGTTTAACATCA